TCATACATATTTAGTCTATGTTAAGATCATCCAGTTTTTTATTGCCATTAAAAATAATCATGCTCGAGGTACCTACCATTATGAACAGTATATTAAAGAATAAACGTTTTATGTTATCAGCCGAAAATGAGTTATAATTAATAATTGGATTTTAAATTTAAAAATCGAAATCATTATGCTTTATACACTGCAGTGTCGGTCTTTCAAAATGTTCATTATACCAAAACCAAAAGCCGTAAAATAAACATTATATCATTAATTAAAAAACGTTTGCTGAAATATTTTATCGCATATACAATAATCATTGGGAATTAATATAAAAAAGTATAAATAAGAGTAGGCATTAACTGAATAACAACAAAAAAACCGCAGAATAAATCAATAAAACTTATAAAAACGTAAAAATTAAAATTATAGTTTAAAACGAAAATATTCAATGAATACGTAACAAAAAATATTGATATATACCTGCACTTAACAAACGTTTTCGATGTTAATAATAGGTAACACTGAATGTAATGGAAAAAAATCGATGAAAGTCACAAATTCACAAAATTCACAATTGTGAATATTAACATAATGTACAGAGAACTACTCATAGAGGACTCAACGTTTTAAATAAAATTTAGTCATTTAGAAGAGGAGCCTGTTGTCAAAAAGCAAAAGCATTTTACATAATATATACGTGTACATATATACATATGTACACGTATATATTATGTATACATTACACATACTAGGTTTCTACTACACGTTAATGTGATTTATGTTTCTTTATCGTTATTCTCAATATTTTTTTTACAAATTATTTATTCGTAAATTTACAGCGTAGTGTGAATAAAATAATACTATACGTGTCCGTGGAACAACTTTTCTAAGCATAATATAGTCTCACCTTAACTACGTACTGCAAGATTAAATTTTCTGGCAAACATGCGTATTGAAGCTACACAAATATGTTTAAAAATAATGTTTTTCTTAGAATTCGAAAAGAAATGAATGTGATACTCAAATTGACGTCCAAAACATTTAGAAAAAAATAAAAAATATGAATTCATCGTGTTATGTAAATGTTATAAATAAATAATAGTTTAATTTTGTTTGGTGCTCAGTAAAATTAAGAAATATCTTCTACTGGGCTTGTATAAATCAGAATTTAATATGTGTATAGAAATAAAATTATAACGTATAACTTTTGAATATTATGATTTAAAAAAAAAATAAAAGATAAATTATAAATTGTGTTAATACTTATAAATCTACTTCATACATTTATCAATTGAGTAAGGATTTGAAGGCCAATGCCTTTATAAAAAAAATGCATAAAAAAATACCTTTAAAATAAATATTTGTACTATTTAATTTCTACGCATTATTCTAAAATTTTTCTTTTTCCTTAATAATGAATTTTTTGATCTTTTTAATATTTAGTGTTAACTTATCAATTTATTATAATAATTGTTTTTGAATTTCAAAATAAATCGATAAATAATAACATGATATAATAAGATAATACGATAAAATAATTTACAAACACATAAAAAATATCCGAGGAGAGAGGCCATCCAGTAACAGAAGACTTTTTGATATAGGTACCTATAAACTCCTGTCACAGAGGGTTTTATTGCTGGATGGTCTCCCTCCTCTGGTATTTTTCATTCGTTTGTGAATTATTTTATCATATTATCTTCTTTTGCAACAGCATAGATTGATAATTGTTTTAATAAAAACAAAAAAAACTTTATGCGAATACGACATTATAAATGCTATACAAAAAACTTCTAACGTAAATCATTATGACTAGATAATACCCACATGATTATGTTTAATTACCGTTTATAAACCTATTAACGAAGTATTTATAGATTATTGATTATAGAAATATGCACAAATAACTTCGATGGATGTTAATAGGTCATTTTCCATGAGTAAGAACATTTTAAGTCCAAACAAACTTTGTTTTTCCGAAGACATTTTGTTTAAATAAACAACTTTTTCGTTACTCGAATAATAAATTATTGATAACAAAATAATATGTTCTAAACGTAAACACATTATTAAAATACCCTTTTTTTTTGTTGCCTTTTTCCCATTTAAAATTATTTACGATTTTATAGTGTCTCAAAATCCTAAATCTACGTATAAATTGTTAATAAAGATATTTACATATGTGCAGTATGGAAGACTTAAATCAGAAAATATTGAAAAATAGCCATAATCATGGCCTATAATAATATAATGGGTTATAATTGTGATTTGATTGCTTATTATAATATAAATAGTTTATAAATGCTTGGTCTGGGGTATTACATTTATATTATATTTGTAAAGTACGACTGGTTTCGAATTGAAAACTTATCGTCAGGTATAAATTAAACAAAGTCAATAAAATCCCGACTCAAGATACACAAAAATTACAAATTAAAAACTAGCATTCTTTCCAACTACGAGTTACTAATAACATTTTTATAATTTTCAATAAGGCTGATAACGATTTATAAAATAAAGATATCCAGTAAATTCGATACTCATCAAACTTAAAAAAAGAACCATGATTTTATTAACTTTGTGAATACCTGACGATGAATTTTTAATTCAAAACCGGTTATAATACTTAACAAGTATAATAATACTCCTCCAAACTAAGCATTTATTTATTAATTTCTATATATGAAATATTTATTTATTTATTAATTAATGAGTATTAACCATTTAAATTTTTATTATTTTGTGATTACCCATCGTTCGATTTTTGATGGCTTAATTGTTCTTTGATACATATTTTATTGTATACAGATCTGAAGGAATGAATGACATAAAATGACTTAATACTGTGTCCGAACGAGCAAATTTGAAGTTTGACAGGAATCTAGACATCAAATTATCTTAAGATTACCATAAATTTATAAGACGAAACCGGGACAAAACAAACACATTATTGAGTAATAAACTTTTTTTATAACTTTTATAATATTGAGAGGACAGTGGTGTATACAATAGAGGGGTGTGAGGGTCAGATCCCCCATAGGACTTTTTTAAATGTTATAAAATAATGTTCTTAGTGTGAGGGCATTAAAAACGTAAAAAAAATAATGATAAAATAAAAATAATGATTTGTTTGCAAATGATCCCTCCCACATACAAAAGTTATGTATACGCAACTGAAAAGGACCATTAATGGCCGGCAATATAATATTTAAAAATATTTTTTTAAATAAAATATGTAATATATAAGTATATATACTTATATATGTGTGAATTACAAATTGTTTTTATTATATATTGTTAATCGATTACGATTAAAATTGTACTTTGAAATAAATTTGTCGAAATTAAAAATTAAACAATACTACATTTCCTCTAAACGTCTAATCCGGGACATATGGACGTCCCGAAAACATTTTTTGGGATACTTGGACACGAAATCCAAAACCGGTGACAATCACAGTTTTCCGGGACATACGGCAACCCTAAATTATCCTCATATGTAAAATGAACTGTAACGCCTCAATGTACCTCTATGCGCTGTTGCAAGGAAACCTCAAAACCCATTTGGAAATGCAAATTAAGTTACAACACAGATAATGTAACATATCTGTATATTGATGAAAGTACGTTAGAGAATCAACTGTTTCGACGACAGTATTTTAATTGGCAACATCTGCAAGCTGTGTACAGATATGATTATTTTTATTTTGATCCTAATAAAATATATTATTCTACGTACACACAGTTCATTAATGTTTTTGATGTTTATTTTTTTTTTACAATAACACATATAGAATTAATTGCAATATATAATCCAATCGATCTTTGTACAAATTACTCAATACTCAAACATTAACCTGTTTTTATGGTTTAAATGCATTGCATCTTTGACAATTCAACTAGTAGAATGATACTTTGAAATAAATAAAAATATGATAAAATTCATTATGAGTATTTAAATGATCTACTTTTGATGAAGTGTCCAATTATGTGTAACAATAGGAAATATTTTTTCAAATTCTTTTAGTTAGATATATTCATAAGCATATCTTAATATTAGGCAAAATTTAAACTCAATTTTTTCAAGAGTACTGCCAAATATAATTAATTTAACTATAACAAACCAAAACAGGAATAATATAAAAAATAACTTTCATCTATAACTATGGTCTAGTATATGATTCTATTATAATACAATAGTACTAATTTTTCACCTATAATATATACATATTTATAATTAAACAGTTTAGTTTGATATTTATAAACATTCTTTCAAGACTGAAAGATACAATTACATCAAATCAATTAAAGGATCAATGGAAGAATTGAATCAATGAAAATACAAATACATTTGGCAACAATTATAGTATACAATTTTATTTTTTTTCGTTTTCACCAGTTAATGAAAAGAGTAATTTATAAAAAAAAGGAAAGTACATTATTACATTATTTAGAATAATTGTTAACTAGGTACAAACTTTGTTTACAATAAAATATTGTTTAATCACTTATGTGGTATCTAGTAAAACATCATGACTATATTATTACATTAAATTATGACTTAGAAAAATAATAAATTATAGATCATCTTAGCCAGTATGAAATTACAACAATATTTGAGGCTCAGACTACAATAAATTATTAAAATACAAATTTGATAAAGAAACTAGCCCTAACTGACTATTGACTAGAACGGCCTGTAGTTCAATATAGTATCAAAACAACTGTAGGGGAATACTGTGCATTTTCATTTCCCTTACATTTCAATAATTGACTAAATTTATCATACAATAATCATGTTTATATAACAATAACAAAAATAAAACTTAATTTTACAAAAGGCCAGTCTTCCCGGCTTACCACTGCGCACACTTGGTGCATACATTATCTTAAAATAGTTTTGAATAAAATCAGTCATTTATTTTTTTTATTCATTAAAAGTTATGGAAGATGTTATTACAATTTATTTACATAAAAAATTTACGTTTAAGAATATAAAGTTATAAAGGCATATAAATGTATTTCAATAAATTAATAATTAAATTATAGTACTATAAAATGAAAAAAACAATTTAATAACATACTATAATACTAAAAGTGACTGATAAAACTAGTTAGCATTTGTTTGATAATAGTTATTTACAAAAGTAGAAAGTTAAGAAAAAAATATTAAGTTAACAAAAATGCCTTAATAAAAAAATAACAGTAAACTAAAATTATTTATATATCTTAATCACATCCTTGATGACAGCACGGCAAATGGGACAACGGCCCAAACGTACCCATTGTTTCTTAGCACATTCATAGCACATACAGAGATGACCACATGTGTACAAAGCACAGTCAACTGCTCTTTCGAAACAAATTGAACATTCTCCTTCACCTGATGGTGACTGCTAAAAAGAATTATTATATTATTATTAATCTCATCTTATTTAGTAAGAATAGTATTTAGGGATTTAAATCTTACCTCTGGCAAGTGTGGTTGTTGGACAGGAGCAACTCTTGGCTGTATCTGTTGAATTGTGACAGATGGAGGTCTAGCAGACATTTGTTGTTGAATACTAGAACCCTGTGATAAGGCTGGTGATGGATGACACATTTGATTACTTTGAGCCGCAGGTAAGTTGACAATTAGAACAGTTCCACCATTTGCATCCGTGTTTACTTCAAGTATATTTGATCGGACCATAGGTTGTTGCGGAGTGTAACACATAGTTGGCGAGGCCGCCGAAACTGTTTCATAGGAAGTAGATGGTTGGGGAGAAGTTTGAACAATCACGTTAGGCGTGCAACCATTACTATTGGTCGGTGGAGACGTTATTTTCGACACGACAATTTGTGTGGTCGTTCCGTAAATGTCAAATACACCCCATAGCATTTGGGCATGATCTACACACATTAAGACGATGTCCGGATTTCCGTTTTTGCTACATAAGACTTCACCTGAAAATAAAACGCACATTGTAAAATCAACTAAACTCTGCAAGCTTGAGGGCGAAAAGCGACAACATTTGATTTACGTATATTTATATGACTAATGTCAATGATAATTACCATTGTTATTAATGGAGAATATGAGCACGTCTCCAGGTTGGGTATCTTCGGCTACATTTCTACTCATCACCCAGTACTCTCGTCGGTCTACCAGCTGGTTGGGATCGTCAGGTAGTTCCCCGATTCCGATGCTGTTAGGATCACAGCACGTGACACCAAATGAAAGACTTCCCACGTACAGCTGACTGGTCTTCGTGATTTGTACTAGGTATTTTTCACCAATCTGTAGTGGCCGTTTTGTGAACGTGTAACCTTGGAAGAAGGCAGTGGATAGCCTGGTCCCTACACACGGCACGCCATCTTTCGTACTGATCATCACATGCCGCCCTTTCCGTACCAAGCCCAACGGCTCCAAATTGTTTTCAGTTTGGTTCCGTAAGGCCAACGGGGCGGGGGACGACATGGTCACGGCTGACAGATGTGAAGTGATTTCTAAATCATCACTACAGGAGAAAAAAATATACCAGTTAATATCGGCAAAAAAAATATTTGAAATTGAAGAGAGAACGGGAAAAATAATAAAAAGTTACCTTCTGACGGCAGTTGTCCTGTTGTTTAGCTGCGGACGACAGTCGAGAAACTCGATAATAGTAGAATTGCCGTAAATATCCAACAACACCCAGAGCGGTGACCTAGTGTCGATGCCCTGCATAAATACCCCTTTGGATTGACCATCGATCCCGTAGTGCACGTCGCCACCGGAATCCACATAGAAGAACAACACGCTATCGAGAACAACATGACGTTCACCCAGCGCTTTCGCCCAGAATCCCGACTTGCTGGTCAGATCTAACAAACAAAAATAGAACAAAAATTAGTAAAATTTTATTTTTAGCTACTATCGGTAAGGGGCGTATTTAGATTATTTTTTGGTGGTTGGGGAATTTTCTCTAAAATAAATTTCGCAATTCAACAATTAAAAAAAAAAAATTAGAATTTTAGTAAACAATTTTTATTTTTATTTTATAATCATAATTATTTTTTTTTTAAAAAAAGAATTAAATAAAATACCCACATAATAATAAAAAATTAACAAAGGTAATAGTAATGAAACAATTTATATTGAATCAACCAAAATTGTGGAATATATAAATACGTACACTACATTATATAAATAATTTGAAACTTATATCACATATAACAATGATAATATGAGCTTCTACAATTTACATTGGGTAGATTAAAAACAGACAAAATTTTTTTCTGAAATTTCGAAGAACTGAGACCTCAAATTGAATGTCGCAGTTGCGAGTCAATTTACAAATACTTTAAGTTTTGATTTTAATTTTTAGTCACAAAAAATTTTTCCTTTTTACAAAACAAATTATAACAACTCATACTAATATTTTATCGTTTAAATATCGATAAATTAGCGTTCACAAAAAATTTAAAATATCCTATATATATATATATCTGAATTAATATAAAATGTATACGGCATCTTGGCTTACCAGGACAAGCGTATTTCGGCACTCTCTTCACATTCGAGGGGTCTTCGCTGGTAAACCCGAACCGGAGTACACCACTCCAGTTGTCAGATATCTCCAGGAACTTGATGTACACCTTTTCGTTGATGGCCACTGGCCGACTGCTGAACGCCACTCCTTTACAAAAACTGTCCACCCGTCTAGCGACGAATCCGTTCTTGTATAATCGGACATTATCGCCGTGAACGTTATGGAATCTCAAAGGTGGCAAATTCGGGTTGACAGTTCCGGCGCCTGATTTCGGTGCTATAAACAAAACGTAAGACCATTATATAGCAGACTGCTTCATATAATATACAATTCAACAATCGTACAAATAAATCAACAGCACTTGTATAGCACATAACAGCACATCTATAAATATAATATTATTTGCTGCATGTATTGGGTTAGAGTGTACGATAGGACAACTACATTTGAAACGTCGTGTAGTTTATTTCATTCATCGATTGTCACGGTCGATTTTCCCACGAGAAGGTTGTTAATAAAAATGTGTTTCATATATTATACATATAATATTATATAAATTTATTATCTGGAGAGTAACATTACGACTTGTGGACAATGCGCGCGATGGTCGGTTGTCTACGCGCACACGGTGGCTATGATGACTATTAAAAGCAGTCGTCGATGGCCGTGGGGTAGTCAAATGTGACATGTCATAAATGGAACAATGAGACAGGCGAAGGACCCATCGAGTATAATAACAATAATCATAAGACCCGAATAGTGGAAATTGAGTAGTGAACGTTTTTCAATTGGAGTTCTAAACCATTTTGTAATTTTATTTTAACAGGTTTGAATCGTATTTAATTACCTACATGATGATAATGTTATCGGAAAGCAGCACAACCATACAAACGAGGTATTAATCTACTTTTGAAATGTTAAAATAAACATAGTTTTAGAAATGTAAAGTCCGAAGACTTTTAAAATAACAACGGAGAAACCCGCTCATTGTATACAATTAAGAAATGTGAAGTCCGCTACTCATGTGTGTGGTTAAAATATTCAATTTTCTCTCGGTAGACCATGAACGGTATGTTTCGCATGTGTGGTTGCCAGGTGGTTGAACGTGCGTTAGTGATTCATATATCCGGTGGTTTGCAAGCAAGAGCGTAAAAAAAGGGTTATAAGTTTGTATATACGAATAAAAGGTGATCATAGAACATAATATTATTTATACATAATACGTTTTGAATGCGGCACGAGTACCGCAAAAACCAAAATAAAATAATACGAAAATGATTCGACGAAAGAAAAAAAAAAGAATCAGACAAATCGTTTCCAGTAGTAAAAAACGTACGGAAATGACAAAGACGACGACACGTTTCAATGCGTACAACGAAATATTATATCAGAATTGTCCAGCGGAAAATACGGATTCACGTAAATGACGTGCATATCAGAAAACACGCGTAACGGGAACTTTGACGAGTACACGTACACCGGTGGCACTATGATGTTACCATCAGCCACGTGGTTGTCACCGTGAATTATAAATGTATACCAGACGAACGTTTCGATTACTAAGTTTCATTGTTTGTGCGCGCGGCGGAAGACGAGGGGGAAAAAATAAAACACCTAAGTATACATTATTATTATTATTATAATATTACAAGAACGCCGAGGGGACACACGGCAAAAACGATCCGGTCTTGTGCACTAGAAAATTTCATATTACGATCGTGCGGCTTACGAGGGGGGGGGGCCCATTATGTTCGTGGCGCACGGTTTCCGGTGTACCGCCCAACCGCACGTCTCCCCCGCCTTACACCGCGGCGCACGAAGCCGACGTCTCTTCTTGCACACACGTCCGCCGGAAGTCCGAATTCGTAGAGCGCCAAAGATGATACGCGATACGCGCGGTGCGGTGTTGTTGAGGACGATAGCGTATTGCGTGAAAAGAGATTATTGTAATGATCGGCGGTCGTCCGAATCGGAGAACAATAATATAATAAGGACACAGTGAAAAACAATAAAAACTAAGCACCATAATGAAAAAGTAAAAATTAAATAAACCGAAAATCAGAGGTGTCGTAAAAGTGATTCGGAATATACTACAGGTAATATCCGTATATTTAACGGTGTCAGTGACACCATCAATCAAAAAATAAAATCGTGTCGATGTTTAAAATATCCCTAGCGTTTCCGTATGTCTAATTACCAGTAACTAGTAATTAACTGTCCTAAACGTTTCTTTTGTTCCCTCTCCACCAAAGTTTGTTATGTTACATTTAATAGTTATGATAGATGTACAAATATGTGATAAAAGTTTAAATCGCCTGACAGATGGGCATATTGGCATATTTTAAAACGTTTGCTTATCAACTGAAAATCTGATATGACGTCTTCCGGTCGAAAACCCCACAAGGCAAGGAAATTAGTTGAGTATACACCGGAATCGCGTTTGGCATACATATCGTATACCGGCTGATGTATAATAATGCAATCATGAATCGGAAGACGGCAGCGGTAGCCACGAGCGCGCGCGCGCGAGCGTCATCGTCGTCATACACGCATTTAAATGGATCACGTCGGCGAAGCCGCTTTTTGTGTATGCGTATCAGGCACAGGCGGTTACGAAAAAATAATAATAATAATAATAAACCGTGAGAACGGAATGATGTCACTACATATATTTTATATTATATTATATTATTATATACCGAGCGGTGAACGGCCAAAGCATACAGCATAAATACTCGGTTCACTTTAAATAATAAAGTTGTTCCTCTCTCTCTACTCATCGTCATTGTCGCGTGTGTATAAATAATATGAAATACAATAATAATGAGAAACGGACGAACAGATACTCTATACGGCGTTCGCCTATGATACGGTCTATTATGCACATGTAATCACCCAAGTACGCCCGCGAATACCTATAACATAGAATCCATGTATACACATACATCACAATAGTCTTAACATAAACATGTAATCAGTCTTATACGGACTAAGCTTTAAACATCAATGTGATACGTACGTGAATATATAGATTATTTATTATTATACTCCGGCTAGTGAGATGGTACATACTATTTCATACAAGCGCAATATACGAATCGACATAACAAACATAATGGCTTACCACCGCTATCCTCGTTTCCCATATCGGATTGTCGTGTCGTCTATCGTTCGGTAAAAGTCGTGTGCAGAACGAGCTTTAACTCGTAACAACGAGTCGTATATCACGTACGCATCCGCGGCAACGGTGGATTGTAAATCGTGCAACAATCATGGAAAAAACGATGCTGGGGGGAAGAGACGCGGTAAAAATATAACGGTTTTCGGCTGCGATGATGTCGAGGGGGTTCGGTGACCCGCGGTGCACGCACATTTAATACCCCACCGCCGTCGACCCTCGTGGGAACGCGGACCATCTGCAGTTATTTGCGGCGAACGCTTTACGCACTGCATTATATACATATGCATATATTGTCATACGCGGTATTCCCGCGGTGGTAGCCGACAAGGCCGTTAATCCTTCGCCCGGCAATGTTACCATCACCGCAACCGTCCCTGGGGGTGTATATCTGCACCGAGCTTAGGAACTCTCGACGGACAAGGGCGAAAAGTCGAGTAAAACTCTGTGGGGGCGGAATATATACGATTGAAATACGATCGTGACGAAGTGTATAATGCATAACACGACATGTCATTTTTGTTGCAGAGCAGACCACGCGCGTAAATAGATCATGGTGAGTGCCGACAGTGATGGAAACAACGTCGATCCCTCGGGGCACTTGTAAATTTGCGCGTATCAAATACGGTAATAATAATTAGTTGACTATACGAATCGTATACGAAATTTAAACGCGCCAACAATGGTCGGTTGACGGATCACGTTAATTTCGGTTAGTTTAAAAAAATAAAATTTAAGTCGGCCGGCGGAAACGTTTAAACGGACAGTTATTGTTGTTATTAATGACCAGACCGCCGACGTAAAACGCGACGATGGTAATTAACACGTAAGTGGCGCCGTCGTAATAAAGAGACTTGTGACCGGTTATTTTTCTATTATTATTATTGTATACTTATATTTTATACGTAAACGTATGTGATGACTCGATAATACATAATACGTATTAACACTACAGTATAATAGGATCATATGATGTGTGTGTGTATATATACGATCGAGAACGAACGATAAATTATAACATTACGCAGCGATGTAATCAAATACAGACGTTTAAACATGTTAAATTCGATAGGCACATACCTAAGCCGATTTTCTTTCGGATTTTCTTGAGCCCTTTCATTTTGAACTTGAGTGGCGCCAAGAAATGGTCGACGGTACACTGACACGGCGGTTCTGGGACTACCGCGACGGATCTGTTTGCAACGTCGCTACTGCAGTCGTTGGTGCCACCGATTACACCCATTTAACGGGATTTAATGCGAGCGCGCGATGATCTTTTATCAGACGAAGCACGGCAATCACGGTCGTCGTGCGGAAGTACAATAATTAAAAAAATATTATTGAGGAAGATGAATAGATATGGTATCACAATATTACGGTCAGTGCGCGAGTGTAAAATAATAATGAAAAAATATTACACGCGAGATAATGTTTATTACTTTGCACGACCTGCGGGTGGGCAACGACGACGAGGAGAGCGGAAGGCGTAGAGCAGCGAACACGACCAAACGTGATGGGCTCCGGAACGGAACTGATGAGCACAATCGGTGTGCCGTCGACCGCCCGCCGTAGTTTTCGATCGGCGAGGGCACGCGTCTCCGCGCTCCGTGTGCACACGCTACGGGTAGACATCTGCGCCCGTCACCGGTCGTGTGGTGGGGGGCAAGCACTCATGCAGGTGGTGCGGCAGCGGCACACGATACGCCTGCCGCTCGGTCGTATCCTCCGCCACCGCCGTAGCTTCCCGTCCGTGCGTGGCGCGTAAAATTATGGCAATACGACGTATAGCGTTTTCACCTGGTGCACGCGAATAATAGGAGGCGGCGGCGAAGACGTGCGTTCTCTAAAGAAGAAGACGAAGGAGGAAGAGAAGGAAGAGAAAGAAAAATTATGTTAATATGATAATAAAAGAATGGCACGAGAAGGAAGACGAACATTGAGCCCGCGCGAGACCGAAGCGTGCGTTTTTTGACCGAAACAATAAGACCGGTTGCGCAGTTGAATAAAAGAAAAAAGTCAAAATACACGTCATGTGCGTCTTATACGTGCACACACACACACACACACACACACAAAACTACCCCCCGGGGAAACTCTTGAGAAGAGATTGTAGTTTCTTAGGAGAACCTGCCGCTCAGAATGGCATTTACGTACCTATACTATGAAAGGACGACGGTGACTGGCTGTGCGTATCCTCCAGCGCAACAATCAGAACATTACTTTCGACGATATATGCGTTCCTGTTGATTTTCACAAAGAAACGGAGTCACAGGGCTGCAGGTTCATTCTTCTTGACAAAACTCAACCGAGAAGGTTTAATGGATTTCGACGAATAAATTAAAAATAAGAACACTCGAAAATAACTCCGAGAATAACAATATTATAAAATTATTATTTATTATATTAATAATCGTACCAATGTTTGTGTGGTAAATCTCCGACAATTAATCAATAATTACCGTTTCGGCCCTTCAAATTTCCAGTATTCGAACGATAATTAGTGCGAGTATACGGACAATGCGAGCATTCGAGGGCGACGGCATATGTAGTTAATAAATAATATTTCCCAAGACATGAACAAACGAGGACACATATAGACGAGTCGACATTAGTATCCATATAGACCACCCATTCGGTAATTTACAGTCTACTTGATTTTACGATCGAACTATATGCTGCTGCATTGTAACGACACACATTTTTTATTTGTTAAAATTTAAAAACCCATTTCTTTTTTAACACAATTTTTCTTATGCATGAATAAAATTATTATAAAACAATTTTATTAATTATAAATAGGGCTGGGATTTATATGTAATAAAAAACCAAAAATATGTACATATATATGTAATTAAAATTGCCAAAATATGTAGTATAAAATAAAAAATATGTTGTATAAAATAAAAATCATGTACTAAGAAAAATTTAAAAAATACCTACGTTAAAGTTTTAAATAAAAATACAATTCTAAATAATTTTTGATCATAATTGAAATACAATAAATTGATGTTTAATCAATTGTAAGGGAAACAATGACAAACCATATATTATTTTAAATTTTCAAAATGAAATGTACGGCGATTTGGTCTTAACACTGACTTATACCTACTAAAAGAGCATTCCACATCACAAGATGTTATCGGTGCATACTACATGGATGTTATTTCACTAGGTGAAAGATTGAGCTCCATCGTGTATTCATCCGCAATACCACAAAGAATGTTTCTTATACATTTAATGGTCTTCAGTCCCGAATTTTTGTTTAAAACGACGCTCATTTTATTCTTTAATAATTTTGCTGTTGGGCCCTCTGATTCATTAATTTTTGAAATTGATAAATCAATAATTTTTATGCTTTCACTCAACGAAATTTTGGTGTTTTCTAATTTTGAAATTGATTCATCCAAAAAACTAAAATTAGACACAATATATGATATAGCAGACTTTATATTAGGTCTCTCAAAAATTTCTTTTCCCTTGGAAATTGATGTTGCATGTTCAGAATCCAACATAGATACCATATTTTTAATTTCATCATAAAATTTGGAATAATAGTTTACGGCTTGTAACCATGTCCCCCACCTTGTTATAATTGGTTGTGGAGGAAGCGGAATGTTTGGATAGTTATTTTTGAATATTTCAATTTTACTTGGAGCTTTTAGAAATATTCGTTTCATTGTTGAAATTAATAAATCAACATCAGGGTATTGACATCTGACAGTTTCAGCTACTCGATGTAAGGCATGAGCCAAACAAGTTAAGTGAATCATTTTCGGATACAAAACTTCTAAAGCATTTGCCGCCTTAATCATATACAGAGCTGCATCTGTCACAAATAGTAAAACTTGTTCATGCTGTATGTTATTGGGCCAAATTATTTCCTATATGCATTATACACTTACAATTTGCCGAATACCATTATCGAAATATAAATGTAAAATATTACTAAACCACTGAAATTGTCAAAATTTACGAAGTTTGTAAATAAAAACGAAAATTGTACAAAGTATATAAAAATATGTATTTATGACGAAATATGTAAAAATATGTAAAATAAAATATGTCTTATTTTATTGCAAATCACGTGAAACGAATTTATCATTTGCAATAATTAATTTATCGTGTTTCACTAAAAATATGTATTTACGTACAAATCCCAGCCCTAATTATAAATAATATTTAAATCTAAAACATATTTATCGAACTAGTGGAATAAAAATATTTTACTGCATTTTATTTTTGAACAATAATCTAAAATTAAATTTTAAATACATACATACATATATATATTTATTAATTAGGTAATTGAAATAGTATAAAAATATGAAAACACTGTACAAAGTTAATTTATTATAACTCACACCTGTCATAAGAAAAACATTGAACATTTAAAAAAACAGTACATCTGGTTAAGATGACTGAAGAATTATTACAACATCGGACCTCATCATTATTACATATTACACCTGTTAATCTATCTTATCCTGTAGGAAATAATGATCAGAAAAAAATTCCACAGCGCTCTATAATATATGATTTTATATCCCACGGTCTGCGTGATCTCGTACCACAATAGAATTATTTCAGACATTTTAACTTTTTTTTTGTTTTAAGAAATAAACATTGTATATGCTACAGAGAATTTTAATTTGATGGAACTAAAAAAAAAGAAATTATTATCATCATCAATGACACTGTAAGAATATCTGATTGCGAGTAATCTATCAGAAAAAATTAAGTACAACTAAATATATTAATTTGTAAACAGTTCCCGAATGATTTTTGGAAACAAGACTAAATAAGACTCTAAAAAACTCTACTTATTAAAACATACAAATTACAGTAATAAAATGTTAACTTTAAAGAGAAATGTTGGTTAACGAAATATAATATGATGAATATGCATGAATTCAGCGCACTATGTTACGATATTATTTTATCTTAATACTATTAAAATGCACCATACATATGATTGGATAGATGAATAACTAAATCAATCATAATTATTAGTTTTTTATTATCAGCTTGTTTAATTGTTGCATTAAAATATATTATTGTTATATTTAAAATATATTTATAATGTCAATTTCTTTTTTATCATTTTACATTTAGAGATACAAAATTCATACAAGTAACCAAGTAACATAATTAGAATATGTGATAAATATTTGACTGGGAATTTAATAAAGTTGTATGGTTTTTTTTTAGTTTTAGTTTTGTAACAAGCCACAATTTTTTAAATAAATTGTAATAAATGAACAATGACTTTCAATACATTTATTTAATGAATTCTTATGGCCGTATGATTACCTTAATGACAAGTAGAAAACTATTCAGTAGTTAAAGGTTATAGTTTTATTCCATTTTTCTTTTCGGTAGATCGGTTAATCAGTCGATCACACGTAACGTCTGCAGTGCTGGTGCGTACGATTATCAAATAGGTATAGAATCTGTATAACAGATTATTAACATATTACGGTTCACGGCAAGGACAAATATTCTTATTGTTACGGTACATAAATGTGTATTATTTTTTCACACAATAATTGATGCAAAGCAAAATACAATCCGTTCACCATACCGACACGTATATCATACACGCATACACTGCAGTATAAATAGGTCGTCGGACAACAATAATATAATAATATGTAGGTTGTACTATGTAGCGGGTCTATACGTGGCGCGTACCTAATGATTCTTTCGAAGTAATAATGGCATCATGCACACACACACACACACACACCGCATACCACACACATAAATATATTCGCGATTGCGAAGGAAGAGGAGTTAAATCAGCCGTAGTCGTGCAGTAGTGCTGTTACACAAGCTACGTAATTGGGTAACCGAAAACCGACTTGTTGCGGCAATTTATGTATTAGATATAAGATGATCAACGCCCGTTTAGTTATATTATCATAGTGGTCGTAACAGGAGTAACCGACTCGCAGGCGACGGCGGCGGTACTCGACCTCGTACTTCCTGTTGGGGAGAAGCTACTGTAGTAGTATACTGGAACGAAGACGACGAGCGCAAAAGACTGTGAAATTTTTTACGGCCCGATAAATCACATCCGCCGGAAACAGTCACGGTGCGGTGCGGAAGGAATGGTGAGAGCCACGCTTGAAGAAATCGCGCGTCGGTGGCGGCGATCCCGCTTTTGGTTGTAATCCATTCGTCGCGATTTTCGCGCGCGATGCAACAATTATAACGACACAAACGACGGTCGGCGTGAAAACCGCGACCGCAACACACGTGATCGCAGGTAATGACAATAGACGAAGATGCCCCGATAAAACAAAACGGAAAAAACGATTTTCCATTCTATGGTCAAATGTTGGTCGAATGAATGAACGTTTGGTGGGTATAAAAAATACGCATCAAGTGAAACGAAAACAATTTTATTAGATCTGCCCAGATAATACGTAAATGTTCAAACTGCATCCGATCGGTATCGGTTTCACCTGAAATACAGGGAGGAGGAGAGGGGATGTGCAACAAAAACAATAGTAACGGTAGAAAATGATAATGTTGACGAAAGAAAAAAAAAAGTAAAACACGAC